ACCGATTAGTACCCTGTTGTGACTTGAATGCGAGGCGGTTGGTGGTCGTTGTCAAAGCGTTTGCTATCCAACAGCCCCTCAGGACCTTCGGTTTGCTTGTAGGGTGATGAGTTGTGTGCATATGTGGATGCGGTCTCATCGTGAAAGTCGAATCGTAGGCACTTTTTGACTTTGCAACTTTCCTGGGTCTATCCTCTCCAGTTGCTGACTGCATGTTGGTTGTAGCTTCGACATACGTGTCTCTTGCCCAAGGCTGTGAGGTGTTGCGTGAACGGATATGTTATGTTCCTGCCGTGGTTTGGATGGTGGAAATGCTCGAGAACCAATCCAATACACTGCCAAGTATAATAGATGACATTTGCAGAGGAGCGGCAAGACCGTGTCGTGAATCAGCTGATCTTATTGGAGTCAGAGAGCCGGATATTGGGTATCAAGATATCGTTGGGCAGCTTCACCACGAGCAAACTCATCCCTGACTACTGGCTAGACCCAGACGCAATCGTAGTTAACACTATCCGAGTCAGCTACATTCCACGAATTATGTTACCAAACAGTAACGGGCGAAATTTAAAAGTCTTGACCTTACAGACAATTGGCACTGTTTCCAGTCAAACCCCCCTACAACTGTCATTATAGCTGAACTTCTCTACCGCCTATAGTTGGAGGCAATACTCAACAATTTGATCTACTCGTCAGGCTGTTCCAGAATTCCAGCTCCAGCGAATTAACTGGGATGCTGTCAGTCAAGCTGGACATCGAACGGTGATCCTACTGAGTCTTGCATACTTCAAAGAGGTATAGAGAAGGTGCAACCGAGCTAGCCAGAGACATATTTCGGTGCTCTCATGCAAATAAACTGTTAGTTACAAGCTTGACAATGCCCTATTCCTTTCCATATTGTTACCATAGATTCTCATACTCCCCGTGACAAGGAACTACCATGCTTCGGGCAGCATGACTAAGCCGCAAAGGACTTCTTAAAACCAAGGATCAGTCCGCGTACTAATTTGACTAATAAATTATCATAAATCAAGGATATTGCAAAGATTTTAGCACATTTGAGCAGAGGGGAGGAAATAACAAGGATGCTACTCCTAAGACGGACGGGTAATACCAGTAAGGGAACCTTTCCCGAGTAAGAGAGTGTGATTTCACGATTGTGACTGCTTGCGGCGTACCAAAGTTCTTGCCCACATGTACGCGGGATTTGTAATGAAATGTGTATCTCCTTGATCTTCATATTTAAAAGGAGAATATCCTGCTATTGCCTGATGAGATGACGTTTGCATTGAGAGTATAATTTGGCAAGGAATTCCGAAGGGCCAGTCACATGACGACAGATCTTGTTTTCAATCATACGATGTTTTCGGAAAGGAGGAGACTTCCGCCACTATTTTCACAAACTAGAACCGTGCCTACCTACCTCCCTGTGTAGGTAAGTATGGGAGAAAGTAATGCGCAAGGGCGTAGCGGCAGTAGTTGAGGGGAAGGTGATACCAGACATCAAACACAACTCGCTTTGCACCTGTGGGTGAAGAGATGGTGGCTGGTAAAAGTACGGTACAGTTTTGGTACCAAATAGTCAACTGTTTCGATAATGTTGGACGTAATTCGTGGTCGAGAGCGTTCGTCTAGCCCGACGTCTCTCCAGTACGGGACAAAAGAAGCCGAGAAATCGAGATACCTGCATAGAGGCCGTACTATGGTACTGAGTTATATCACTTCATACGATTGTATATACCAATAGAGACATTGGTCGCAGATTCACTCCTTACAGCTCGGAAGAGACATAACTCAACACTGACAAGTATTTGGCCTCACGTAGCTGACTCGGAATTTGGATGGAATGGATTACCTATTGTGACAACCGGCATATGCCCGTGCATTCCGGGACCGCGGGGTTCGTCAATAAAAGCCGCGCATTGGAATTTGGAGGAATCTCAACAGCCCACGATGATGGCAGTGGGCTGCGAGACTGACTGGCTTCCTCTCGGAACTTCCAACAACGCGGAGAACCATGGCCTTTCAATCGCCCGCAGAAGTCCAAGGTTTCGTGCAGGGGTCTCATACGCTGCCATGTGCCAGAATCATGGGCATAATTGGCGCCAGGAAGTATGTGTGAGAGATCCGATCACATCATGAGGGACTCTAATGCCTTTCCGGGTAACACCCGCCGATGATTAGAGTGTGGTGGACGTGGAGCTCTGATACCAGTGATGGTTCCATTCTCGTTTTCGACGCTAACGATATCGCAGATAGCCAAAAACGGAAACCGCTGGCGAGGGGTAGATAGGGCAAGACTTGACTCGGCAGTGCTCGCCGGACAACTCTCCACCTTTATCCATCTTTCGTGCGTTCCTGGAGCAATCAACACCAGGTCGTTTAGCATGTACGCAAGAGACGGGGAAGAAATTTGCGGAGGGCGCATGAAGGGCTTCGTGACGTAAAATGGAAATCTCCAAATTGGTGTGCGGAGACCTATACGCTATACATACATACTTAAGAGCTGGCAGCACTCGAGTCTCTTGCAAGTTCAGTTCAGGCCTTGCTTGGAATCTTTTCACATAGTCCTCACTTATCTGGTGATACTCTCTCACTGCAGGAAGAAAGACTCGTATTCCGCCGATTTTGACCTCCCAAATCCGGACCCAAACAGTTGAGAGGAGAATAATATCTTTCGATCTGATATTCCTACAACCCTGTTGACCAGCTTGCTATCGTGTTCAAGGGCACACGACAACATATCTACGATACTGTCTTTTTCTTGACCTTCTCCTTCCCCTCATCGTACATTCAACTTTCGTAAACACAGATACAATGGCCCCCTCAGCCACCGTCGAATTCCCGCCCGCCGCCCATGATGGCCAAGTCCTCGAGAGCCTGTCCGATGCTATCGATGATGTGAACTGCATCAAATATGACTCCGAGGTCAAGTTTGACAGTGAGAAGGACAAGTCTCAGTTCCGTCAGTACGAAGACGCTTGCGATCGCGTCAAGAACTTCTACAGAGAGCAGCACGAGAAGCAGACTGTTGCTTATAACCTGGCGGCTCGCAACCGTTTCAACAGCGCTTCCCGAGTTCGACCTGAAATGACCGTCTGGCAGGCCATCGAGAAGCTCAACACTCTGATCGATGAGTCCGACCCCGATACTACCCTTTCTCAGATTGAGCATCTCCTCCAGTCTGCGGAGGCCATTCGCCGCGACGGCAAGCCTCGTTGGATGCAGCTGACCGGTCTCATCCATGACTTGGGCAAGCTGATGCTTTTCTTTCCCGAGCTCGAGACCCAAGGCCAGTGGGACGTAGTTGGAGACACTTTCCCCGTTGGTTGTGCTTTCGACAAGCGCATCATTTTGCCCGAGACTTTTGAGGCCAACCCCGATACTAAGGATCCCATCTACAACACCAAGTTCGGCATCTACGCTCCTGGGTGCGGCCTCGACAACATCATGCTCAGCTGGGGCCACGACGAATATCTCTATCACGTGGTTAAAGATCAGTCTACTTTGCCTGATGAGGCTCTCGCCATGATTCGCTATCATTCGTTTTATCCTTGGCACAGAGAGGGTGCCTACCGTGAGCTCATGTGCAAGAAGGACCACGCTATGCTTAAGGCCGTGCAAGCTTTCAACCCTTATGACCTTTACAGCAAGAGCGATAATGTCCCTTCTGTCGAAGAGCTTAAGCCTTACTACATGGATTTGATTGATGAGTTCTTCCCTCAGAAGGTCATCAAATGGTAGAGGGACTGTTACAGAACATAGAGCGGAAAGAAATGGGGCATTTATTATACAACAACTATTTTGCTATTTCATAGAGTCACATTGGGGGCCTGGACAGACAATGACGATTCTTCATGCAGCGTGCGACGATATTTGGGCCCGTATGGCCATGTATTTTGATTGGTGGTTCCTTCGGATGTGGGAGCATAGAGTAAAGTGATAGATGCAGTCATCTCGCTTACTGTCTTTATCTTAGTATCCCGATATTGAACAATACGCTTTGGTTCCCTTTACAGGTCGGGGCTAAATGTAATTGGTCAAACATAGTACCGGCCTATCACCAAGTGTATCATGATATATATTAGGATGTGCTGAGTCTACGAGAGGGCGACGAAATTTATTTGGCCAGAGGAGGTACCTGGCTGTCGCGCGTGATACCAATATATATCATCTTCCATTACTGTTTACTTCACCATCTTGCCAGAGAGTATACCCTGGGATATCCAAATCTCCTGCCGCAGACTGAAATTTCGTCATGGAGCTGGGTGAGATAGTGGTGACGGCTGCATCAAAGAACGGCCATAAAGTATCTTATCGCTCAAATAAATATGCTGGCCAGGTGGAACAAGTACAGCGGCTCAGAGGACGGTATCAATGGCTATTGATGGCCTCTGCAAAGACAACTGACACTGCGAGGCTGTCAATTTCCCTGTCAGCAGGCACTATCCTTTCAAATACCACCAGCAGCTCAGAAAAAAAAAACTTGTCTGGCGCATTCTCGAAAAGCGGTCATGTTGCACAAAAGATCGACACCCTTTCATCCTCGCCGGGAGCCATTTGTCTTAAGTACCCTTCCTCACGTGATTCACCGTTGAGCGTCTGGCGGCTAGTCCCTCATGTTCAGACGCTGTCTGATGTTGTTTTAGGGAGCTTCTTCTGGCCTGGGTGGTGTCGATGGAGCATTCTCGGAAGTACCTAGGTACCTAGCCGCAGGTCAAATTACACTGTCGTCACCAGGGACCACCCACCAGACCCGAGCCCTGCTTCGCGAACCAAGTGCTCTGTGGACCTAGTTACATGTCATGACATCCGCAGTTCCTACCACGCTGTTTGCTCCCAGGTTCAACCTCACCACCACGACACTTTGCTGCCGCGCCAGGCTTATCCACGACGAACCTCGTCTTGGTTTGCACTTGGCAGTTAATGCCAACTAAGCCAACCCCTTTGCCTATCCACGATATCCAAAGCTACCCCACCGCACCGGACAGAGCTTGACCATGACGACGTCGGCACCTCCAGAGGACCAGGCTCGCCTGCTTGAGGATGCCTTGGTAGCTGTGCGGCAGCAGACATCCCTCATGCGCAAATGCCTCGACACTCCTGGAAAGCTCATGGATGCTCTCAAATGCTGGTGCGTTATCCTGAACTTGTTCCTAACTGGCTCAACCGGAGCTAACCTTTTGTCTATCCACCAGCTCTACCTTGGTCTCGGAGCTTCGCACGAGCAGTCTCGGCCCTAAGCAATATTATGAATTATACATGGCTGTCTTTGACGCTTTGCGCTATCTATCAGTCCACCTCCGAGAAAGCCACCCCGTCAATCACCTTGCCGATCTATACGAATTGGTCCAATATGCCGGCAACATCATTCCCAGACTATATCTCATGATTACGGTCGGCACGGCGTACATGTCAATTGAAGACGCGCCGGTCAAGGAGCTTATGAAGGATATGATGGACATGAGCCGCGGTGTTCAGCACCCAATTCGCGGATTGTTTTTGCGATACTATCTCTCGGGCCAAGTACGCGACTTTTTACCGACTTCTGACAGTGAAGGTCCGGAGGGTAACCTGGGCGACTCTATCAACTTTATCTTGACCAACTTCGTGGAAATGAACAAGTTATGGGTACGCCTTCAGCATCAGGGCCACTCAAGAGAGCGAGAACAGCGCATTCGGGAACGAAAGGAACTACAACTCCTTGTGGGAAGCAATATTGTGCGATTGAGTCAGCTAGTCGATCTTGAGACATACAAAACCAGTATCCTCGGGCCATTATTGGAGCAGGTGGTTCAGTGCCGCGATGTCCTTGCTCAAGAGTACCTTCTCGAGGTCATCACGCAAGTCTTCCCAGACGAGTTCCACCTCCATACCCTCGACCAATTTCTTGGTGCTGTATCGCGCTTGAACCCTCACGTTAACGTTAAAGTCATTGTTATCGGACTGATGGACCGCCTGTCCGAATATGCCGACCGAGAAGGATCAAAGGATAAAGGGCCTGAGCAAGAAAAGATTGAAGCAGACGCTCTAGCATCACTTTTGGAGAAGGTTAAGCTGAAGGATGCATCCCCTACCTCTGAAGGCGTGCCGAAGCCGAGCATCATCTCACAAGAAGATGAGGATAAGCAAAGAGACGGTGGTGATGATAGGCTCAAGCATGAAAGCCAGGGTGGAATAACAACTGAAGATGAAGCAAGCACTGTCGCTGAGTCAACAGCGCCGTCGAACGCTGAAACCGAAACTACAGCCATTAATGGTCAAGACTCGGCCGGCGCCAACGTTCAGCTCTACGAAATCTTTTTCACGCAGGTAAAAAATCTGGTGGAGGCCCAGCATTTGCCCATCCAAGATATCATTGCTCTACTAGTTTCTCTCTGTAATCTTGCTCTAAACAACTACCCCGATCGACTGGATTATGTGGACCAGATTCTTGCGTATGCCGCACAAAAGACGAGAGAGAATATTAACAATGCCGACTTACATTCTCCTGGCGCTCAGCAGAGTCTCTTAGCTCTACTACAAGCGCCGTTAACACGATACGTATCCATATTCACGGCCCTTTCCCTTCCCACTTACGTCCCTCTCTTCCAGTGCCAGTCGTATCCCACACGCCGTGCCGTGGCTGGTGGAATCATCAGAACGCTCTTGAAGGATCAGATAAAGATCACCAAGACTGAACAACTAGAAAACGTTTTGGAGATCATGTCGGTCCTCGTCAAAGAGGGGTCCCAAGCACCGCAAGGCTATCCTGTTGCGTCACAACGTCGCCCGGTGGAAACGGACGAAACCATGGAGGAACAAGGCTGGCTGGCTCGAATGGTTCATTTGCTACAAGCGGAACACAACGACACCCAGTTCAAACTATTGCAAATGACGCGCAAGGCATACGGCGAGGGCAACGATCGCATTCGAACCACTACCCCGCCACTAATAACCGCTTGCATTAAGCTTGCCAGAAGACTCAAGGCTAGAGAACACTACGACGATAATTGGGAGACGCAGAGCAATGCTCTGTACAAATTTACTCATTCAGCACTAAGCACTCTGTATACTCGTGTGAATGGGCCTGGCATTGCTGAACTGTCTCTTCGTTTGTTCTGTAGCGCTGGACAGACAGCTGACATGACGGGCTTCGAGGAGGTGGCATATGAGTTCTACGCCCAGGCATTTACGGTCTATGAGGAAGCAGTGACAGATTCTAAGGCTCAGTTTCAGGCGGTCTGTGTTATCGCCTCATCTCTTCACCAAACGCGGAATTTCGGCAAGGAGAATTACGACACTCTCATAACCAAATGCGCGCAGCATGGTAGCAAATTGTTGCGAAAGCCTGATCAATGCCGGGCTGTTTACCTAGCGAGCCATCTTTGGTGGGCTACTCCGATCACATCCAATGGCGAGTCGGAAGAAACAGAGGTAAAATTGACATTTATACTTGATGTGCAATGTACACTATAACTCATCGGATACTAACTACTGGAACAGCTGTACCGCGATGGTAAGCGAGTACTGGAATGTTTGCAACGGGCTCTCCGTGTAGCGGATTCGTGCATGGAAACTGCAACCTCGATTGAGCTCTTTGTCGAGATTCTGGACAGATATGTCTACTATTTTGATCAACAGAATGAATCGGTAAGAGGGCCCAGCGAACGACTCGTGGTGAACAAAGCTGACATATGGTTGCACTAGGTGACGACTAAATACCTCAATGGCTTAATCGAGCTCATCCACTCAAATTTGGCTGGGAACCAGCAAGACTCTGGTTCCATCGAGACAAGTAAGAAGCATTTCCATCAAACTCTGGAGAATATAAGAAGCAGACAATACGAAGGAGTAGTCCTTTACCCAAGCTGAAGGATCAAAATGGCACCAAAGCCTGTGAAGGTCTTTGGGAGAGTGTGAAGGTGGAGAGAGTGTAGATACTTTTTGAACAGGCGTCCGACTGAAGAGAAAAGTGCATGGGACACAATGTGCTTCTTATGTGTATATATGTAACATGTTGTTTTTTCCTCCTCGTATTCTCTATGCGCCTTGTCCACGTGTCTAATCCCCTTCTCCCCCACCCCAAACCCGGCTTTTGTATTGTATTTTTCTTGGGCCCCTCGTGATTATTGGGCCTTATCGGCTGGTAGGTAGCACTGTGAGACGAAGTAAGCCGGTCCGCTGTCTGCTATAGCTAGCTGAAGATGCGCGCGATGGATGAGAATGCGCAACAAAGGTATCAGTTCCTGCAGATGCCACTGCGACCTTGCCATCGTCGAAACAGCACATGCAGGTTTGGTCTCAGACTTGACGCCCCCACAACTTGACCAGGCTTGGAGCGCTAAACCCTTGCAACTTCCCGCAAGTCACCAGACACTCATGGCTATTTTGAAGTGCCATGGATAAAGCGGTACACGCATTAGACATACAAGCCATGGACAAGTAGAGAAGACCGAGTGAAGACGTTCAGCGAGACGGTTGTGACGGTTGTCAAGGCCTGCGGCAGTTTCTTTTGGCACTTTGTTCAGAGCTGGATTATGGAGAGTTCGTATGGTTTGGTGCCGCCAAGATTCTGGCGTGGGCATTCGGTCACGGTGGAGGGTCTTGGTGTTGGATTAAGAGGCACTGGAACATCGAGTGCTGAGATTTGTACAAGCATGGATGCAGCATGCTGGCGTCTGCTCGGGGACGGCCAGGTATCTTGATTAAAGTCAATGTCAGTTGCCACAAAGACACTTACGTGTGTGCGGGCTAGTAGTCCTCGGCATGGTGCCCAGGTCCGCGGCACTTCAGGTGGTAGTACTGCGTCGAGGCGAGATCCAGATGCCAATTGCTTGTTATATTCAATGCTGGTGTCGAGGGCGTCCTTGGTGCATTTGGACAGTGTCTGTATTAGTTGCCTACTCAGTGCTGACTTTGAGGACGTCGTGGCTCCATGTTTCTCAGCAGACACCAGGCATGTCAACGGGTTCATAACCTTGTCCAGACGGCTCTCAGCTGCACCCGGAACTGAGACGCGACCCCTGCGCCTCAAGTGTTCACAGCGCCGCAACGCCCGGGCATCTCAGAGTGCGCCATGGACCCATTCAAACCACCCGACTACATCACCACCAGGCCTCTCCTTAAATATCGAGGCCATCATCCTTCAGCCGCCTGTCAAGCTGGCGACACTGGCTTTTGGCTCCTTCGTTTACAATGAAGCATCTCTAGACGCCTTTAGATCCTAAGCAGCGCCGCATTCTTTGAATTTTCTTCTTTCTTTACGCTCATTGTAATTCCCCTGGTAATCGATACCGCTGTTATCCACGCCGCGAATCCGTGCCGACGGACACAACCTAGACAGAACCCGTCGCGGCTTGGAACGCATCCCACCCACCAGCGACCAAAGTAGAACCCGTTTGGTTCCAACTGTATTGCATGGCAGACCGCTTTCGATTCGCTGCTTACCGTAGACTGCGCACCCAGTTGCGTCTAGTCCACGATGCCTTCCGACGAGAAGACCCCGTTCTACGATCCGGTCCCTCCAAGCTACGATGAGGCTTTGGCCAGTGGAAGCCGTCGCGACTATGCCCGGGGCCCTTCCAGATCATCGATAGACAATCGCGATGCCGACGAAGCTGAACAACAATCCCTCCTGCGACAACCGGAAACTGCCGCCGGACCATCGAGACAACCACCCCGCGGATACCGGCCGCCCACGGTAGAAACTGACGATGAGTCCAGTCTTTTCGGGAGTGGTAGCGAGCTTGATGACGATGAGGAGGCCGCTCAAGTACGCCGGGAAATGCAGGAGATGGAAGTTGAAGAGCCATCCACATCAATAGGCTCAGTATGGAGCAAGAGAATAGGCTTCTCCTTGTCACTGCCCAAATGGAAATGGTCCTGGAGACCGAGATTACCGAGATTCCGCGTCCAACTTCCCTCACGCGCCACTGAACCGACCCGAAATGAGAACGAGACCGAACCTGAGACGAATACCGACACTCGGCGACACTGGCCCAGGATGAACTCCATGGCATTGATTATAGTATTTGCCCGGCTTGCCGCTCTTTTAATTATCCTAGGCTTCATCTACTTCCTATTTGCCACCGGATTCTTCAGTGGCTTCTCAACTCGTGTCCCAGGAGGTCTGCGCTTCGATCCGGAAGATCTCAAAGCTTTTCTACAGTCTAATGTCGACCCCATGCGCATGCGGGCTTCGGTTCTGCATTACTCACATTATGCGCACATTGCCGGCACCGAAGGAGACTATGCAATGGCCATGGATGTTGAAAGCATGTTCCATCGGGCCGGGCTCGAGTCGGTACAACTTGACGAATATTACGTCTATGTCAATTATCCACGAAAAGACGGCCGTGCCGTGCAAATTATGGATACGGATGGCAAGACGGCTAAATGGACTGCGAAGCTGGATGAGGAAGAACGCGGCGGAGAAACAGCTGGGCGACAGACATATGCCTTTCACGCCCATTCCAAGACTGGCGATGTCAAGGGTCCTCTTATATATGCTAATTATGGCTCTCGACATGATTTTCAAAACCTCAAGGACAAAGGAATTGATACAAAAGGAGCCATTGCCCTCGTACGACAAATGGGTACCCAAAAGGATGTGGCCCTGAAGGTCAAGGCAGCAGAGCTTGCTGGATTCGTTGGCTGTTTAATCTACAGCGATCCCGCTGAAAATGGGTTTGTCAAAGGTGACGTTGCGCCCAAGGGACGATGGATGCCTGAGGATGGTGTGCAACGGGGCTCTGTGAGCCTCAAGAACATGGGAGTCGGTGATGTTTTAACGCCTGGCTGGGAAAGCAAAAAGGAAAAACAGAGAATGGCTGTCGAGGATGCGCCCGGTCTAGTGAAGATACCCAGCTTGCCACTTGCTTGGAGAGACGCCAAGATTCTGTTGCAACAATTGAAGGGCCACGGACAACAGGTTCCCGATGGGTGGAAAGGCGGTACCCCAGAGGTGGATGAGTGGTGGACAGGCGACCATTCTTCACCTGTCGTTCGTCTACAAAACGAGCAGGATGAGATTGAAAAACAGCCCGTATGGAATGTCTATGGCAAAATTTTAGGGATGGAACAAACGTCAAACTCCATCATTCTTGGCAATCATCGTGACTCCATGGCATTTGGCGCTTCCCAACCTCACTCTGGAACTGCGGTAATGATTGAGCTGGCTCGCATCTTCGGTAACCTGTTGAGCCGGGGCTGGCGTCCCCTACGTACGATCGAATTCATGTCCTGGGATGCAGCAGAATACAATATGGTCGGGTCCACCGAATACGTTGAAATGAACCTGGATGCATTGCGACAGAGTGCCTACGCCTATATCAATCTAGACGCTGCAATCACGGGCACCCAATTCACAGCGGCAGGATCCCCACCACTGGCAAGAGCTCTCTTTAGAGCCCTGGGACGTGTCGTAGACCCCTTCAAGAATGAGACTCTCAAATCCCAATGGGATAGCCGCAAAGCAACTTTGGAGGGCCTCGGTGGGGGAGGCGACTATGTTCCATTCCAAGATATAGCTGGTACAAGCTCGATTGACTTTAAATTCCAGGGAGAGCCAGTACCCTTCGGCTCAAGCTATGAAAGCTTCAATTTGGTTGAACAGGTAATAGATCCGAACTTTATCTACCATGGACTCATGGCTCAGGTTGTTGGTCTACTGCTTCTTGACTTGGCTGACAGGGCCATCATGCCATTCGACATGGTTGGTTATGCCCGAAGCCTCAATCACTGGGTTCATGACCTGGAAAATTGGGTGAACAAGCAAAAGGATGCCAAGGACGGCGCTTCAAAGATACCTTTCCAGGAACTCAAGGATGCCGTGGAGATGGTCAAGAGTAACGCTGAGGAGTTTGAGAAGTGGGAATTAGAATGGGATCGCTCGATTCTCAGCAGCGGCGGGTACGAAGCAAATGGTCTAGGGGCCCAGCGGATCAATTATAATGACCGGATGGCTGCTTTTGAAGCTTCGCTCCTAGATTTAGAGCTCGGTGGTGGTGTGAGTATCTCATTCTTCTGTATTGTTGGACTGTGCTTACTTTGTATAGATTCCAAACCGTACTCAATTCAAGCACGTCGTGTTCGGCCCTCAATTATGGTCAACTTATGACGAATCATTTTTCCCTGCTATTCGCGATACAGTAGAAGCAGGCGACTGGGAACTAGCGAGACTAATCACAACAAAAACCGCGGCCTTATTGCGAAAAGCTGCAACCGTTTTACAGATGTGAAGTTTGATGCCTCGGGTCAGCGATTCGAACTGTGTATGATTCTAACAAAATGTTTGGGTTTATTGAATTTTTTTTGTTTCCCCCAATTATTACCGACGTCGTCCTGTGTTTGAACGCAGTTTCTGTGTTCATGGGTCAAGCGAGAAGTTCAGCTTGCATGCATGTGTGTAGAAAGACTTTGCTTTTGGACGACAGAGAGGGCTTATTTTCCTGTTTTGCTGTAAATATGAGGAAAAGGCATTGCATGGAGTTGGGATCTGCTGATACGAAATCGGAGTCGCTTTCTCTTTTCTGCTCTTAGTCATTTTTACTGGACAAGCCGAATGGTCATCGTTGTGCTTCTTTTTTTAAAAAAAACGTACTTGCATTACCAACACAAGACGTGCGTTGCTTGCGGCTTGATATTGAGTCTGGCTTTAAGACAAACCGCATAGTCAGGGGGCACTTCATGCCCGAATGAAAACTGACTGGTACAGTGAGGGGCGAAAACATGTTCCTATCCCGGCCAAAGGTGCATGTCACGCAATAAAATATTTGTCATAAGTACTATAACGGCGGTATGTATTTTACGATGACTAAAGGTCCCCTGCCGCAAACTGTAGATAGTCACGAGTCCCGATCTCTGCCGTCCATCACATGCCGCTACTGCGCACCCTCGGCCTTTCCGGCATTGTAGTCGGCAACCGACACAAGCTTGCCAACAATGTCGTACTTCCCGAAGAACGTCTCCTCCCAGCCCTGCAAGGCGTCCATCTCGCTGGGTCCAAGACCTTCGAGCGTGTCCAGCGGGCCGTCCAGGTCCTCCGTCAGCATGTCCGTGTCGAAGCTGTGGCAAGCCAGGCCACGGCTGGCGTCGCGACCTGCGAAGTTGGAGTACGGGCCGCCGGGGCCATAGAAGTTGCGCCCGTTGCTGACGTCGAAGACGCGGCCGCGGACGGCGAAGAAGATGGGGTTGCCGTTTTCGCCGTTGAACGGCAGCAGCGTTCGCGGGGTGTAGGTGCGGAATACCTTTGGCGGAGGGCCGCGGGGAATCGTGGCTGCCGTGTTGGAGCGCGAGAAGGTCGAGACTGCCGTGTAGACGAGGACGCCTAGGAGGATGAGGTTGAGGGGTGTGAATGGCGTCGTCGTGCTGTGTCCCGGGTATCAGTGGCCTGGTCGGTGCGGATCTGCGCCCAGCACAAAATCAATGTGCAGTCGAGGGAGCTTGAAGAGCAGGAGAAGAATGCGTCATGGCGAGCTGTGCGCAAGGGAGAGGCAGTGTAGGTGAGCTTCATACCTGGCAGCTTCTTTGGCAGCCTCTTGGACTACACGATGTCCGACATAATCCATCTTGGTGGAGATGTTTCCGAGGGCAAAGCACGCGGATATTCAGGGTATGCTAGGACGAGCTCACGTCTCTATATGATTCAGGTAGCCAGGTACCTCAACGAAGATTACTGGTACTTATGTTGCCTTGGATGATGCAGACGGAGAGAACTCCAATACAGTCACTGGTCTTTCTGAAAAGTAGCGATACCGGCTCTTGGTTGGTTCAACGGTTAGGATGATGTGACCATCGTGGTTTCCCCGATTGGCCCCCGCCGTCAGCTTATGAGTAGGGTGGCCCGTGCCGACACCGCCGACCTAAGCCCGCCACATGTGCAGACTCCAATCTGCTGCGGATTAACCAGCCAGCGCTCTCTTCGCCATACATGCACTACTGGCAGTAGAGATATATTAAATTGGTTAATAGCACATTCATCATTTTACAATTTTTTATTTTCCCTTTGTCCAAAACTTTTGTCGACAGAGAGTTTAATCACTAGTAACTATATTATCAACACTTCAACCCTTAGCAGCACCAGCCTTGATAAGTAGGATATCGCCATCTTCCACAACATATTCCTTGCCTTTGGTCATCATCTTCCCCTTCGCCTTTACCTCAGCTTCGTCACCCAGCTCCTTCAGCGTATCAAAGTTGTAAACGATGGCCTGAATAAAGGTCTTCTCAAAATCTGTGTGAATGACACCGGCGGCCTGTGGCGCTTTGGTGCCAGTGCGGATGGTCCATTGGCGAACCTCATCTGCGCCGGATGTGAAGAAACTACCCAGCTGAAGAGTCTTGCGCATCTGCGTGATAATTTTAGGGAGCGCCGACTCGGCCCCAACGTTCTTTTGTTCCTCCCTGGACTCGTCCTCGGTCTCATAGCGCGTCAATCGCTCTTCATAAGACACGGAGATAGGAATAATTGGGTCGCCAGTGGCATGTTCCTTAACCCACTCAACAATCTTTGGGAGGTGCTTGTTCTTCTTTCGGACATAGTCCTTTTCAGAGAGATTCACGAGATAAACCACGGGTTTAGCCGTCAACAGGAACAGAGGGTTGATAACCTCCACCTAATACCACAAGAGTTAGTACAGTGGTTTCTACCACAGCAAGATGTTTCGCAATTCAAGGTGCAGAAAAGAATAGTCAGGTTCCTATCAGAGTAATTTTCATCTCACAATGCACTCTAGCGTTATTTGGCGAGGCATTCGACGAGCTGGGATTAGATCAGGCCAAGTGGCCTTTTGTCATCATAAGAAACAGGGATTGAATGTATGAAGAAAAACAATGAAGCAACAGCAAAAACAAAAAAAAAAGTTATGCAATAATTCTTACCTCTTTAGGACCCCAGACGCCTTTGCGGACATCCTTACCATCCTGCAGCCAAGCCAAGATCTTCTCAATGATATCTTGCTCCAGCTTAGCCTTCTTGAGCTCAAGGCTTTGACCGCCCATACGGGTCTTCTTCTTCTGATTCTCCAGGGCCTTCTCAACGAATTCAATATCTTTGAGTCTCAGCTCTTCGCTGATAATATCCAAGTCTCGGGTGGGGTTAACATCACCCTCGATGTGGATAATTTCAGCATCGTCGAAGCATCGAACAACCTGGAAAATGGCATCTACGGCGCGAATATGCGACAAGAAGGCATTTCCGAGGCCGGCTCCGGTGGATGAACCGCGCGTGAGTCCAGCGATATCATACACCGTCAAATTCGCGGGAACCTGCGATTTGGGCTTATATTTCTCGCATAGCCAGTCAAATCTAGCATCGGGCACAATGACACGAGCTTCTTCAGGATCAATGGTGGCATAGGGGAAGTTCTTTCAAGCTGTCAGCACCCCGGATCAAGGGCGAAGAACGAGGGGGGGCCTCATACAGCTGGGTTGCCTAAATTGCATTTTGTGATGGCCTGGAATAATGTGGATTTGCCAACGTTTGCAAGGCCAACCTATGGAGAGACGGTTAGTAGTCAAACGACTGACGAATGGCAGTTCTTAAGCTGTGCCAACGGCAGGCAATCTCACAATTCCGCTCTTCAAGTTATTTCCGGGTCGGCCAAGGGGGATTTTTTCCTCCTGGACAACCTTCTTGGGAGGCATCTTGCTTCTAGACTTGGCGTAGGACCGACAGGGTATAATGATAGACACGCGCCGGGCGATTGGAGCTTGTCCAAGAGCTGCAGGCCTGGCTGCGCGCGGGAGAAGAGTTGGTATAAGAGAAGAGAAGGGAAAGGGAAAGGTGATGAGGAACGTCGTGGTGAACGACGTGGCTGCAGAGAGCCTCTGCCGTCAATTCAAGACGGAGGGGGGAAGGAGAGTAATAGACGCCTGCTCAAAAAGGAGACAGACGATGCCCGTAATGGGGAGTTGAAAGGCGAGGAGTTGGAAGAGGAGGAAGATGGGTTGGAAAATTGCGACGAAGGAATTTTGAAGAGCTCCCCCACCACACCCTCTTCGAGTGTGTGGGAGCAGTTATCTGGGCTGGGGGGCAGGAGTCGGAGCCAGTGTTTTTCCTTCGGCAGGTGGGTACTCCGTACTATCCCCTAAAAGCAGCGAAGACTACAACCCACCTACGGACCCGCGGTCCTCTGTGACGTTAAGTAACATTAACAAGAGTTGAGATTGTAGCGTTAATAATGTAGTATTTTGTAACCTAGATTTTTATGGAACCTTTATTATCATATAAAATATTAAGGAATTAAGGTACCTTAAAACATTAAGCTTTTTATTGGTTGCTAATCCCCGCAGCTACATGATTGTAGTCTTCGCTACTTTTAGGGGATACGGAGTACATTTCTCCAAGATGCTGTTGGACCCGCCGCGCAAGCTGGTGCTCTAATGTTGGCGAGCTGACACCGAGCATGGTGTCGCCGAACCCGGCTGCGAATCGCACATGGCGCCGCACTGTGCTCTTTGTTACATGTTGGCCGCCACCAAGCCGCTTAAGTGGTGAGCATTTCCGCCATTTCCACTCACAGGAGCGACTTCCCTCTTGCATTCTGACTCGTGCTTTTTCTCTCTTAAGAGCTGGTTTCTATTACCCATGTTTTAGTAGATTTAATGCTGCCGGAGAGGTGACTTAGCACGGAAGTTTCGACTGTCACCCGGAGTAGAATAACTCCTCGCGGGGCTGTTGTCTTTGGCAAGGCACACTGACCTTTTAAAGCCCGACGACTGCATACTCTGTAACATGTCGACGTCTCGACATAGCACAGGCCAATCTGGGAGCAGACACAGATCGACGTTGTCATTACAAAAGACCGAGGTCACAATCCACGTTTACGACCTGCTGCCGGTTCGTACTAACCCCGGCGATGAATCATCTCACCCACTTTGTTATGTTGTTTATCTATTGCAGCTACTAACATTATTATCTTTGATCCACAGCCAGGCAGACTTTCATCGGTTCTTTGGACTATTGGTGCTTCGTTGCTCCATTCCGGCGTTGTCATCAGTGGCAAAGAATACGCGTATGGTGGCCATGATAAGCGCGGTGTAACTGGTGTTTACTGGACCAAACCCAAGACCGAACCCCCTGGAGGCACGTTTCGATGCGAAATACTGCAGGGATTTACCCTTGCCACTCAGGATGAGATTGATACTGTATTGCACGCTGCGTCGGAGGAGTTTCTGGGCACGTCGTACAACCTATTGACAAAGAACTGCAACCACTTCACGTCGTACCTCTGTCAAAAATTGACAGGCAACGCTGGCCCCGCCTGGCTCAACAGGGCCGCGAGTATCGGTGTTGCTCTGCCTTGCGTAGTACCTCGAGAATGGATCGAACCCCCCGAATACGAAACAGCGGACGGCGAGCTATTAGATGACGATGAGGAGGTTGCGGATGAGTCTTCGCGTATGCTTTCTCGGTCCCGGCCACATTTCTTATCTGAAGGGGATAAAGCCAGTGAAGAGTGGGATAGTGAGGAAGAGAGGCGCAGAGGTGGAAGCGGGAAAGGGAAACGAGTTGTACGGGACTCCTCCGGGCGAAGCCTTCCACCAGCAGAGCGGGCCCCGCGATAGCTACAATTCGTCGCATGATTTCTGGTGTAAGTTCATTTGGCACGGCGTTTGGGGCAAAGTAAGATACCACATGTGCTGGCTTTGTATTCTACAGTGTGAGGCAAAAATATTTGACCTGACAACGTGCCTGTGTGTCACGCCCTTCACTATGACGTGTTGTGATATATCGCGTCTACTCTTAAGGCACCGGAATACGTTAGCGTATCATTTGCTATGGTTCAAGATATCTTTCCACTGAAAAAGATTGATAAGTTAGTTTGCGGGGAAGCTAGGTAGGATGCATCTCAAGATCCTAATATAGTTATATAATCAGAGCTTGTATAATGATATAGTACAGTGGTGACATTCCTAACATTCTCCCTCCTCCTTCCCGGTTTCTCCCCTCGAGTCAGCCAATCCACCCGCGATACTCTTACAATCGTCTTGGTTTCTCGCTTCTGGTACCACCAAATTTGATGCGAGTAGAATCCGCAACTCGGACAATCTTTTCCCGCAAAACTTTGCCTTCCGGGCTCATCAAGACCTTCACAGCTGCCTCTCGGCCCTGGCCAAACCCTCGCAGCACCAGCTCCAACCTTTGAATTTTCATCGGCCACCCAGTGTGAATAAGGCGTTCCAAGACGTATTTTGTGAGGGAGTATGCCGAGTCGAAGGTTCCACGTCGAGATTTTCGATAGCCAATATTTCCACATGACATGGAGATGATAGGCTCGCGATTCGGTTTTGTACAGGTGATGTGTGTATTGTGCTTGTGGGAGTAGACGTGGAAATGATAGGGTTCTTGAGCATCATCTCTGCGTTGAGCAGGCTCGAACTTCTGGCCAGAGAGGGCACTAGTGTCAATATTTGACTTGTTGTTTAGTACATCAAAAACCATGCTTTGTGAAAGGTCACTCATGGTGTTTGGTGTCGCCCGGTTCCGTGATTGAGATGAGTTATTGAAAACACTGTCTAGAAGATTTTCGGTTTTGGGTCGTGCCTGTACCCGTTTAGGCCTGTCCGCATTTGAATCGTTCCATCGTGCCGCCGATTGAGACAAATTTCGTGACAGTTGGGAAGGACATTTCAGGGTGGTAGCGTATATCCGTCGAAATAATGGCAGAACAGACAGGTGATTTGTCAATTTCCGGCTCATTTTGCTGGCATTGCATTCGGATGCAAATACAATGACTTCTCAGATGCGGCCGCCTTCAACATTCGCAAGGTTTTTACCCTCTATTGAAATTTGAAGGAACCATCAAGGGCCGCTGCATTGGACCCCCCTCTTCCCGCCCCAAAAAGTGGCTAGCCGTGGTTTTGCCGATGCTCCGACCACTGCTGTACCCTCCGCCTGCAGCCGAGATCGCGGAAACCAAAATTTCGTTCTCGCCTCGCTTAGAAGGTGTCGACCCCCCAATTGCTCTTCTGCAACCCTTCTTGTCCGCCAACACTCTGTGGGCTTGTTCCCATTCACTTTCCACAGAATGAACTCCGTCGCTCGAAGCGCTATTAATTCTGAAAATGCCCTATGCCTGGCATATATTCATGTTACCAAATCCTTTGGCAGGTCTCCTGCTTATAGGAGGCTAGCTTCTCATCTTTCTCAGAGTTCCCGACTCACCGCATCGAGTGCGAATCAGAAGATAAACGCCACGAGTGTTTTCCTTGCTCTTCTTCGATCTCAGTTTCATCCACCCAGTATTCGGGTTGTCCCAATCGCCATTTCGCAGTGCCGACAGTTCCATGTGACCAGAAGGAGTTTGCAAGATGAGAAGCCTGGTAAAGACTCGGCCAAATCTGCTTCAGCCGGCGCCGAGGGACCCGGATCGGAAACCAGGCCTGATGAAGAACAATCAAAAAATCCTGACGAAGGCGACAATGGCGAACAGTCACAGAACAAGGAAGATGGACAAAAAAAGAAGGAAGATATGCCTCCACCGCCGCCCCACGGCGACAAGACTCCTTGGCAGGTATTCATGGAAACTATGAACACTGAGTTTCAAGCATCAAAAGAATGGAATGAATCAACAAAGCAGATCGGCGCCGCTGCCCATCAATTTACTGAGAGCGAATCAGTTCGCCGGGCTCGTGAGGCTTATGAAAAGTCGACTGGTGCCATTTCATCCACCACCGCCAGGGCTGTTAAATCTACCGCTGGGGCGATTGGAAAGGGTGCTTCTTGGACCTGGGATACCTCGGTAATGAAGGGTGTCCGAAAGGCAGCCAATGTTACGGGCGATGCCGTGGACAAAGCCACCAAGCCCATTCGCGATACCGAAGCTTACCGAAATGTAAAGAATGTTATTGATGATGGAAGCTCCTCCAGATATGGTGGATGGGTGGAGAAGGAGGAGCGCAGGAAGAGGCGAGCAATGATGGAACAGCAAAATGGTGCCTCTTCTCAAGTAATGGAGGAAGATCCAAAGTAAGAAGCTTACACATTCACTCTTGACCCTAGGCTTGCTAAATACTGATGTATTAATTAAAACTAGTGCCGGAACTAATATCACGCTCCACAAAGACGCCGCTTGGAAGGAGGCTTGGAGAGATTTCCGAGACACCAACAAGTTCGTCCAGGGAATTTTTACCATGAAGGGCCGATATGAGGAATCTGAAAATCCTCTGATATCAACCGCTCGAAGCATAACTGACCGAATTGGAGGTTTCTTTGCCGAGAACGAGACTGCCTTGGTGATCAAGAAGTTCCGATCCATGGATCCCGCCTTCCAGGTCGAGCCCTTCCTGCAAGAACTCCGAGAATATATTCTCCCAGAAGTTCTTGATGCATATGTCAAGGGTGATACGGAAACATTGAAGCTCTGGCTGTCAGCGGCACAATTTTCAGTCTATGAGGCATTGACTAAGCAGTATCTACAGGCCGGCATGAAGTCTGACGGCCGCATCCTCGATATTCGAAATGTGGATATTCTCCGAGCCAGAATGCTCGATCCTGGTGAGGTGCCTGTGTTTATCATCACTTGCCGCACCCAAGAGGTCCATGTGTATCGCAACGCAAAAACCAATGAGCTTGCCGCGGGCATGGAAGACAAGGTGCAGCTGGTTACATACGCTATTGGCATTACTCGGGTTCCGGAAGACGTAAACAACCCTGAAACCCGAGGTTGGCGTTTGATTGAAATGCAAAAGAGCGGAAGGGAGTGGCATTAAAATGAAGTCGGTACGAGTTGCAGCGGCTCCAGTCACAGTTTTGTTTCCGACTCTTGGCATTGGGGATGGAGTTTGCAAATTCATGTCACATCTTGTATATTATTTTTGTTGCCTACGCGCAACATAGCAGGTTTTTGTAATACCCTGGAGAGAGCATGGGGGGACAGATGGCCTGAAAAGAGAGTATCCGGTGAAAATGGCGTCGGGCAGAGCAGTGGCTATGGCGAGAGCAAATGTCATGGAAAGATGATGCGATGGCAAAGAAAACACCGCTCTGTTAGTCTTGCCTGAGAGCAAGACGTGTATACATGTATGACTAGGTATAGAAGGTATTTGGCATAGATAGGGATGTTCCCGTATATCCAAGAACAAAAGTATAACATAAAGCATGTCATCTAATTAGCAGGTCGTGTGTTAGGCAAGTAGCCGGCACAGCAATGAAAGGTATCGCATACACGGTTTCTTTCGCATGGCGCGCATCCAAAAGAGCTCTTTCGGGTTCAATCTCTGACTAGCAAGGCATGCTCGCCAACACAGACAGATATGGCAGAGGGGATTCAGGTCTGTGGCGTCTGCTCTCTCAGTAACCACCTCACCTCCATCAAGGCCTTGCCCAGCAAGTTGAGACCCCAATAGGCCCTACGACGTTCTGCATCGGCTGCAAGGCAGCCGATCCCCCAGGTCTTATCGTACGGGCTGGCCTCTACAATCTCGCGGGTGCCAGTTGCGAGGAGCATCTCGCGCAAGCTGCCATCAATCGGGGGTGTGTCGTTGCCCGTGCCCTTTCGAAACCCTTTCTCTGTAACTGCTCCTGTGAATTTCAGGAGGTTTCCCTGCTGAACGATGGCCGTCCTGTGCTTTTTCCATGTCTCGTCTGAGGAGTTCTGAACTTGGCGGCCTAGGGCTTTGGCGTCTCGTGGATGGCCTGCAGACAGAACTTGATCTGCCACGGCCTGGTCGTTAAATAAAAGAGCCTTGTGATACATCATGTAACTTGAGAAGTAATTAGCACATCTTTGCATGGGATGGAGAGTCCGGGCCGGGGAGACGGACTGTTTGGCAGTGTCGTATACTATTTCGGGGTTCTTATCGTCCGTGAATGGACAGTAGTACCATTGTGAAAGCCATCCGGTCTCCGTATCAGCATCTCGCCAGAAGTAGACGGGATTGTCTGTAGTATTGCTTGACTCGGTCATGTCCAACTTGGGAGGGAGGGAGGATGTTTACTGGGCACAATGGTTTTACGACATGCGGGCGTCGTTAGTGTTGGCTGTGATATATCGGTTGCTTTGGAGGGCTATAATACATGAAATGAGCGTCTCCTTGGCTTTGGATGTCTTGTTTTGTCCAAGTGTATTGAGCACACGTATGCATGACCTTGACCGTGTGAGTGCTCAATGTCGGCAGTTGTCACTGCCTGGTGTGACTCTTCTAGCTCTTTTCTCTCCTTGGACTCAAGTGCTCCTTCCCCCTTACGAAGTAGTGCGGTGGAAATGCGATTTCGTGAACGCCGCCAACCACGCCGGCTGAGTCAGTGATATTGGGCACTTCGTACCTGTGTTCTCATTGGAATTGTCACCTCTGGTGATATCTTTGACTATTTTGCATATGCTTTTGATGTGAAATGACTATAGAGCTGCCGAGTCCAAACGTGAAGGTAGGGAATATCCGTCAACTGTTAGGTGCCAATGGGTACCTGAGGAACTCGGTAGGTAGAGAGGGGATTTGGCTTGTACATTCTGGTCTCTTTAAATAGAATGATGGAGAAAAGCATGGGAGTCTTTGTAGTCATTGCAAGGCTCTCTTTAGTTAGTAGCGAGGGGCCACGCAAATTTATTTCAGTCGTATACCAAGAATGCTTCCAGACCAGACCAGTTGACTGCTGGACGCCTACCCTGCATCTCGTCTTGGCCAGCAATGTATGCATGGGCAACTCCGTACTCTGGTACGTTTGGCTGAGTGCGCGGGGTCCGCTGACTTTTGCCGGCTCGCCTCGTTCATCATGGATGCCACTGGCCTTTGTGTAAAGTTGGGCATTCATCCTAGACATATTCACTCATCCAGGGCGCCATCACCACTGCGGGAGCTATCGACCTCCCGCCCTTTCAGCCAGTGACATTAGCCCTCTTAACTCTTTGCCATGATGGCCACATCCGCCCCCAAGGTCCGCGTTGGGGTGGCAGTCTTTGTGCTGGCCTCGAAGAACGAAGACCGGGAGAACCCGCGCTTTCTCGTCGGTCGACGCAAGGGCTCTCACGGTGCTGGCACAATGGCCCTTCCAGGCGGCCATCTAGAGTTTGGCGAGGGGACCGAGGAATGCGCCACCCGCGAGCTGCTTGAGGAGACTGGGCTTAAAGTTGCTAACATCCGGTTTTTGACCGCCACTAATGACTACATGCCCAATGACAATAAGCACTACATTACTTTATTTCACGTCTGCGTCCGGGAGAAGAACGGCGATGAGCCCCAGCTACTGGAGCCGGATAAATGCGAGTCGTGGGAGTGGATTGCCTGGAAGGATTTGCTGGGCTGGATTCAAAACACGAGCGGCGAAGACGACGGTTTAAAGCACACAGTCTTTCTTCCACTCATAAACCTTGTGAAGCAGAGACCAGGCGTCCGCCCAACTGATGTCTAGCCGATAAAGAGCGTTGGGGGCTATCACGAGCCTCTGCGCAACTATTGATATATCGCGAGCGAAAAAGGTGCTTGAACCGCCAAGGTGCATTCGCAGTGCTATAAATACTGGGATAGAATGTGCTCGGCGATACTGGGACAAATGACATGTGTCTAACTGGGTGGAAATACACCATAGCGTACTACGTGATAGACAGATATATTCCTTGGCCAACTACGTCTTGTTTTATGTAGCACTCTCTGATGAAAGCTTATTACAAACTAGCCAAATCAGAGAGGAGGATGGAGTACTGCGCTCGGGAACTGATCATTTGTTTGATGGTAGCTTTCATACGCCCATCACCTTCACCCTTCACCACGCAACATGGCGCTATATTATTCAATATAGTAGTATCGTGCATCATCACCGCGATGACAGCTTCCCTTCGCCCCCACAACGCACAGGTCCCGGTGCTCGCACATGAGGCTCATGGCTGATTTCAAGCACGTCGGCTTCTGGACACTTGGAATGAATTCCAGGCTGTTTGCGGCTGTGCGAGTGATGTCATATGGGCCCAGAGGCCTTCAAACCCATGGGTACGGCTTACAGAGGATTTGTTTCGAAACAAAAGTCGGCGGCAAAGGCAGGCTGAGTTGGGACGACGATAGGCGAGAAGGAGCGAAAGACCCGCGACGACTGTGAAAACGGAGGAAACCAGCCAGTCGATGAGAGATGGCGGGGGGGAACCTGGAGCATGATTCCCGTGGAAAGACCCTGGCCAAGCCGACTGGGGGCTGGTGTTGTAGTTATGAGGGATCAAGGGTTGGCGTCGTGGCGCGGACAGCAGGTGTGCCGCATTTCTTCCCCAGCGCGTTGCCAAACGACAGGCGCGTGGCAAGTGACCAATGACAGAACAAGGATGGTGTCGCGCTTCCTGGCGCCTCACGAAGCAGTGCTTTCATCGCCATGTCACGTCACGGCATCCCCCATGGCATCTGATGTTGCAGCCGTTCACAGGCGGCATGATCCATAATCCGCCACAACGCAAGGCCGACATGAGCAGAAGCACAATGAAAGGCCTCGACTCTTTTGGCCTCTGGACCAAAAGGCAAACGGGGCGGTGCGGGCAGGGCGAGCCGGAGGCTCCCCAGCCGCCCGTCAAGCAGTCCGGTCGTGAGACCAAAGTCTACCTAGTTACCTGTTTTCGCCGTCCGGGCCCTCCTTTGAGCCAGTCCGGTTGCTCGTGTAGTTAAGCGCCGGCGTGCAGCCGCCAAGATCCACGAAGATACTCCGTACTCCGTACAGGCCAGCATCTTGCCGTCTTGTGGCTGGGAATAAGGCAGCTGACAGCGCACAAGATGTTGCCGGGGGAATTGCCGTCTTACCTTTTTTTCCTTCATCGTCTTCTTTTTTTATTCTGCCTCTTCCTCCTTTTTTAGGAGCGTTCGGCCCTGATGGTTCCCCTTTGCAGTATTACCTAGCCGCCAGTATGGATCTCGCTCAGCCTCCTGCAACCTAATGCAACGCTGCTGTCACTGTCAATGCCACTCTCCGTATCACTGTCATTGCAGCTGCTTTTTCGGTTGCCGCGGCGTCGAGAAGAGACAGTATACTGACCAGAGCCCGAGACGCGATGGACGCGTCAGGAAATCGTGGGCAACGCGATGGTGTTGTCAAATGGTCCAACGTGGATCGAGCCAACACGCATGCCACGCGCAAAGACGAACAGAAAGAGCCGCGTCTCGAGCATCGTGCACCAAGCACCAGAACAGTTTAGACTCTGCATCTAAAAATGAGTCACGGCTGAAAGCTGGCCAACCACGAGGTCGGCGCCTGCAGCAATCCGCACAACCCCAGAACCGTGGAGCCCTGTCGACCACCCCCCGGTTCAGATGTTGCCATAAGCTCGTGTATCATGACCTGGTTCACCTTTACTATGCTTCGGTTCCTCGGAATCCTGGCCCTGGCCCTCCCAAGTGGATGTGCTCGGCGTATGGAGTATCTACTCCGCATGTGCGCATCTATGCCATCGTCGATATACATGGACACGATCAACCTGCAGTTGATCTGTTAAACACGTCTACAATTTGTTCACGTATCCGTCGCGTAAACCTCAATGCGCGTGTGAGAATCACTCGTGTCTCTTGCCCGTGCTGGAGACTCACGAGTTGATGCCCACTTACACGTCCCTTCACCGCTCCCAGTAGGCAAAAGCCAAGAGTTACTTGGCTGGTTTTGCTCCTTTTTTTTTCGTGTCCGTGTTCTGACAACCGAGACTATCCCATCTGGTCTCTTCCGCGTTTCACATCCGTCAACTTCTGTCGCCAAGGCGGCTGTTTCGTGGCGAGTCCACCAAAGGTCCCTTGTGAGCGATGTCTAAATCCTTGCTGCAGCTTCCTATTCGCGTTCCATTTGAACTAAACCAGTTACCATGCCAATGTAGTGCTCTGCATTTGTCTATCCTATCCCTCCTTTTACTATTCCAAGTGTAGCGCGCCTAATCTTTACCCTCTCACACAGCATCATGTATACCTGGATACACACGCCCCCCGGCCGACTATGTTGTGACCGCATATGTCTACTCTTCCATCAGGCTCATGGCGAGAATAAGAAGTCGGCCTCATCCCTCGAACTTCCCATCTCGTTTCTTGTTTCCCAATCGTTTCATGACTGCCATTCTCTCCTGTCCTTGCAACGAGGCCTCCTAACCCACAGGTGGCCGCATATACTGGCCTTGCATCGCCTAATTGTGGTCTGCCTTGTTGTCATTGCCCAGTCATTAAGTTATACTACACTGCATCTTGCTTCCCATGCTTAGACAAGCGCTGGTCGCAACAAAGAGTTCAATAATATCTTGCTTCTCTGGGTGAATTTCGACCCCTAAGTTCACGACGCGCACTCACTCAACTCGGCCTCGCTGTTTGTAGGCTTGGTTTAATCACTTCACCTTTGTCTTTCGCTATACACACTTTCTCTATCTTTCTACCTCACGCACCGCCTGCCGCTTGCATTGATATACCTCCTGGAGCTGGACCCGGGTTCATCTAATCAGCATTTCATTCGTAATATTCATTGCTCCGACTCCGAAGTTACAATGTCTGCGTAAGCTTGCTCCCTGCTTCACACACATCCGTTACGTTGGGCATCCGACTAATTCTTCAATCTCATAGCCTGGAAGCGGATGTCGCCTTCAACTTTACCTTTCCTTCTCCCACTACGCCGCCTTCGCAAGACTCATTTACAATGGATCCAGTGTATTCATTTGATCCTTCACTCCTGGAGCTACCATGTGTCCGTCATCATGCTCGATCTTCTTCCAAGGCGTCTTCCATATACTCGGCTGTGTCCGCGGTAGAGTCTGCTCCGGACTCGGCTTGCACCGGGCTGACGACACCCCCCCGTGCCAGTCCTCCCGTTCATCAACATGGCCCTGTCTTGCTGCCCAAGATTCGTCCTCAGGACCAGCATATCGATGGGTGTCAGCCTGCCCATCGTGCCCCCCATCATACTCCTGTATCAATGAGCAAGCTTCATCGTGCTCGCAACACTGCTCCTGGTTCCACCAGAGCGTCGTCCGTCAAATCCGTGCGATCTAGCCATGCGCGAAGTTACATGACCCCAGAGGCGCTCACCAACATGGCTTACGCTCACCTGTCGTCTTTCCCCTCCGGGAGCTCTCTTCATGAACAGCAGTGTTTGTCAAGCCCGGCTCCCCTTCTATCCTCTCCGGCCAACTTTCATAACCTCAACGGCTGCCAGAATAGCAACAGGGACAGCAACGCAAGCATGGCAACCGCCGAGCCAGATGTCATGTCTACCGTCCCACGTCAAGCGTCAACAACATGTTATGGCCTTGATGCTAGCACACTTGGCAAGTACGGTTATCCAACCTATCGTCAAATACCATTCATGGCCACGACTACACCTGCATTGCATACCCCGCCTCCAGAGTTTTCATTTCCATCGTATGATCCACGTTCTCAGTCACCCTTGAGTCTTGATGGGACGCCGGAGCCGGTTGCTACTCCTCCTACATCCTCCACAACACTTATAAATTACCTAATGGAGTCCAATCCTGCTGCTTCCCTTGTTCGCACAATCTCGTTCCCGATGCGAGACCCAAGCATCAGACACTTTTGGTGGGACGTTCGCAACATTCGCCCATGGAGCTCCTTTAATGCGCAGACTATATTTGCTCTCCCGGGCGCCTCGGGGCTTCTGACAACGCCTGTGCCTGCCTCTCTCCTTCCGCAGGCCAGTATGTCTTCCCGAAACCCTGAGACTGAGGTCTCCCTCCACAGCATTTACACGTCATACTACCTGCCTAAGCTCAACTCTGCCCTCGCCATCTCTTCCAGCCGTCGTCTGCAATTCTCGGTACCAACCAAGTCGTCCAGCAGCGTCAAGGACTTGCTCTTCGTTGCGAATGCGGCTGGAGAATCATCTAGTGCTGCCGCTATCTTCGGTGGAAAGCCTCTGGCCAGAGTGGTCGGTCTGGTTCGGAGCTTCGATCGCTTCAACACCGGCATGCGAGTTGAAGGAAATGTAAAGCGGGTAGAGTACCTCCGTGGCCTGTCGGCTTTACACCACGCTATGCGCGAGCACAGCTGCAGGTACGGCTTCATTCTTACCGAGATTGAGCTTGTTCTTGTTCGCTGCGGAACAGAGTCCACTCCCTTCTTCGGCGATCTGGAGGTCACCTCTGTGCAGCTCTCTGTGGCGGCACCTGATGCCAATGGTGTAGACGACGCGGAGGTTTCGACCCCGTTGACTGCTTGCCTTGCCCTCTGGGGCATGTGCCGACTTGCTAGCGATGATACGCCGGCAGGACATGCTCATTGGAGGGCAGAGATTGGCGCTCCTGCCGAGGGAACACGGCGCAAGGCCAAGCCTCGCGACAGCTGGATGCCACAGCCTCAGCTGGCAGAGAAGCGAGAGGCAAAGCGCAGTCGGGGATGGATATGGCCCGAAGACGCAATTGGAAGAAAGGAGTTGGGAAAGCGAGGAGTCAAATATGCGGGGATATAAAGCCGCTGGCGAGCAGACTCGAAACGATAACAGTACGGCTGGGCCGTTGCCGCCAGCAAGGTTTCATTAAGAGGCATTGTAATATGAGATTAGGGCAGTCATGATTCGATGATTCGACGAATTTTTTCAACGTCCAGATCCGGACTGGTAATACACTGACGAGCCGTGTGTGTCTAACGTGTACATAGAACCCAATAAAGCAAATATATACCGCAACGCTGCCGGCTATGCAATGAAAGATGGCTCCATTGACTCCAACCCCCTTCAATTCGACCTGTGGTGTCGGTACCACTAGGTTAGGTCGGAAAGAAAAAAGGTCTCCCGCCGCCCTTGTGTTGGTTGCTACTGTCCTCCATTAGGGGCGTTCCCTGTAACCAAAAGGGAAAGGACATTCGTCTATGTAGTGGAATACAGTCAGGTGAAATGCATGCTCATGACTTGACATTTGACCGTTGCGTCCTGACCTTTCGCAGAGCTCGAGCCATTCCATCTAGCCGCATTCTCTCTTGAACGACCATGGCTCGTGCGAAGTCCCGGATTGCTCTGCGTCCCATTTTCTCGTGCATGTCCTGCCATCCGGCTAGCTCTCCTGCCACCGTCTGTTGTGTATATCGCAGCTCTCTGGAGAGGTATTCGGCCTCTTCGCGGTATTTTTTAGCCCGTCTCTCTCTTCCGTCTTGAATTCTTTGCCTGGTCTCATCCAGTAGCCCCAATACCCATCGTGAGGAACGGCCCGCAGAGCTGTCATTTCTATCAGCATCTCGTTTGGCAGCTGTTATCTGACTAATTAACGTTGTAGGTCGTGCAAGTGATGACAAAAGTGCTTGGACTGTCGATTGGATAGCCATCAAAGTGGTATGTAGCGTGGCTTGTGGACTTGCTTGGGTCGGAGCCATGGCTCTTACGTACGCCTCCAGAGCGCTGATGTGGGATTGTGGCAAGAATTTTATTGTAGATACTGCCCTGTGTAGGAGCACCATGGAATCGTAGAGGTCTTGCCAATCATCAAGTTAGTATACGTGCTTTTTTGCAGTTGGCCTCTGCTGTCTCACGTCCGCTAAACTCACCACTTATAGCCAGTCCGACACCGTTGGCACGTCTTGTCACACTTTTCGTCGAATAGCTGACACTTCGGACCATCTCCCTGGCATGATTCACAAATTGCTCCACTTCTCTCATATCGCGGATAGGTTCGTACTCTTCCTTGATTCTCTCGATCCTGGCCTCTACCTTGAGCTTCGTGCGCTGTTCCATTGCTTCAAGCTGTAGTTCAGGGACGAGGAAGAACTCCCAAAGCATCTCGTGGGTTGCTAAAGTGGGATGGCTCAGCATAATTCTCAGGAACCAATCTGTCTTCGCTTGAACGTCTCGCAGAACCGCTCGGGATGGTTTCACGGGTATTTGAAATGGTGACCTCGTATCAGACATGGACGGAATCCATGAAGCAGGCTGCTCTTCTGCCAAAAGATGGGCCAACTGCTCGAACTCCGCTAGAGAGCGCCTAGTCGTTGTTACTGTGTAACTATCATGGTCCGTTGGCGCTGCCGACTTCAGGACTAGCCTCACACTCCCATCTTCCACGAAGAAAGCACGAACGACACCAGTGATTCTCCCATCACGTCCCGCAGGCATGCTAAACAGAGCAAGGTCATCAATTTTGTTCCGCACATCGTCGTCCTTTGCAAGCTCTACAGCAGTGAGACCACGCATCTCTCTTGCTGCAATATCTACTCTAGGATCAGCGAATAGACACCTGACCATGTCGTATCTTCCATATTTACTGGCGACCATGAGTGCTGTGAATCTTTTCTCGTTGGTCGCGTTCACGTCGATGTCGCAGTAATGCAATATTCTCATCGCAAGCCTTGTATCATTTATAATGTGGAGCAAGGTATTGCCCTTGGCATCCACATGGTCGTCAAGGTGTAACGCCTGTCCATCATTTTGGGTTTCCCTTGCCACCCTCAGTCCAGCTTCCACCATATCGTAGTAGTTCTCGTTATCATAGGACCGGCACAGGGCGAACAATGGTGTCTGGCCATTCTTGTCACGTTGTCTCCAAGGAATTAGCTTTCCAATCTTTGCAATCAAAAAAGGAGCATGGAAAAGGTAATGCCCAACGCTGCGTCCCCAGATGTCTTGCTCGGATAAGTACTGCACACGTTGGTCTTCAGTACACATATCAATCCGCTCCAGGAGCATATTAATGAGATCCTTATGACCAAGTTGTATGGCAGCACTTAGTAAAGTCGTTCCCTCATTGTTCATATCTTGAAGTATCACTTCAAGAGAATAGTATCCGGAAAGGGAGAGTAGGTACCTTAGAGATGCTGGATTTTCACTCTGGATAGCAATCATTAGAACAGACTCGCCAAAGGAATTGCTCGTTTGGGCCAGGCGCTCGACAGATACATCTCCTTCGATGACACTGCCCAGAGTCCCAATGCTACCTGTGCGTGAGTGGAAGGAGATTTCAGACCCGCTTGATAAGCTGCGAGTGTCCATGGCAACTCGCTTAACTCGTTTGACCAGTGAAAAGTCACCCTCCTCACAGTTGCCATTAGACTGGAATGGAAATACATGACCTAGGCCGGAGCCACGAGAGAATCTGTCCGACACGGTCAACGCCAGAGATGGGCGTCTTGAGGGCCTATCTTGTAGACTCCAGGTAAATGACGAACGCCGGCTTGGTCTTGCCTGTTCATCAGGGTCTCCATCGAGCTCCAAATCGTCATCTCCGTCTACAACGGCTGACATATTTGGTTCCATGATTGCTTTCAGCTCGGTTAAGTCTGTCCTCTTCGCGGCATCCCACAAGGCTTTGTTCCGCCTGCTTGCTCTTCGGAGACCCGCCGAATCCAAAGCGAGGTATGCGAGTACGGCCTCAAACGTACTTAGCGCATATCCCATTTCTCCACTGTCGACATCGTCAATAAAGATGAAATTTCGAATATACACTAGCCTGGCCTGCAAATTTCGGACCTGGGAGCGAATTACGACGTAGAGCAGGAGCGAGACTAATGTGTCGGCATTGACCGTCATGATTGTCTTTTCATACACGGGATCTTCCTTGCCGTTGGCCATTTGGGTCCTAGATGTATCAGTCAACTGCGAAGCGGCCTTCGTAGTGGACAATAGAGCATCCATCATTTCTGCAGGGCTCATAGCATTCGCTATCTTCTTGAATTCTTCGATGGCGGGTTCGAGTTGTATAAGCAAATCATGTTTGGCCCTGGATCCTCCATCAATAGTAATTCCCAGCTGTGATATATCAATATACTCCATTTGCTTGATTTTTGCTTCGAGCTCGAGATCCTCAGGTCGTTTGATTGCACTGAGTTTGGGGAATATGAGGTGATTGATATTTTCAGTGACATAACGTTCGATGAGCTTTTCTACCAAGGGGCCCGTTAAGTCCGTTGTGGCCCCAAGAAGAGACAGCTGTTGTTTGTCGACGCTCTGAAACAAGTCAATAGCCGCAGTGACAGCGGTCTCTAATGAAGCCCTCATTACATCCTCGTCGTCTTCGGCGTAAAAGTCCTCTGTTACTGGAAGTGAATCACGGTTGATGGCCTTGCCATTCCGGGTAGAGAAACTGTTCGAGCGTGCTCTTCGCATTGCTGCAGTTATTGGGCCATCGGGCAGAGCGTCCGGTATTCTAAGAGCAGATGGTGGCGGCGGCAAAGGTTTCTCAAAGACAGTTGTAAATTCCAAAAATAGCTTCTCAAGGCCGGGTTGCATTTGTCGTGCAATCATCGGGAAGTTGTTTAACAGCTCATGAAAGCTCCTAATGTCTTTTTTCTTTGGAACAGTACTCTCTGCGGTGTTCGAGCCGTTTACTTTTTTGGTGTCCAAAGTCATCTTCTTGTTTACACCATTGCCTAGAACGGCTGGTAGAATCTTGATTTCCTCCCATGCACCCACCAGGGGTTTCGAAATGAAGTATAGCAGCCATTGCCGAGGCTCGAAGACGTCTGGGTACCAAATCGCGTCGTTTAGTATCTGTGCCTGAGCAAACGTTTTGAAGCCTGTGAAGCAAGGCCAGGTTAGCGTTTTCTGGAGCCAATCAAACAAGTGCAGCAAAGGTGTGCGATGACGATGGCGTCGCACCTTTGTTACTATATACCACAGAATCTTTAATGACGACGCTTCTTCCATTCAGGGTTGAAAACTGCTTTGCTTTGCCCCTCACATCGCGCAAATTGTGGACGCCATCTTTACCGCCCGAGGAGGAGACGCCAGGTGATGGAATCCGTAGGACGTGACTGCCTAGAAACTCCTCCGATGCGATGACCTCGCTAGCGGCGGCGCCGCTGTCGATTTCGCGCGAGGTCAGAAGCTCATCTGTCAGTGGGACGAGAAGGATATGATGATGGACAGGCGTGCACTGGGCAGCAACGGGACTTTTGAAGAAGGCGGCAAGGAAAGGGTTTAGCGGTTGCATTCATTCGATTTACCGTGCGAGTGCGGTAAATGTCGTCTGCTCCGGGTCGTGGGCGTGAAGGTAATCGAGTTGGCACGGATTCTGCAACAGGAAGATGGCGTAGTGAAAAGAAGATGCGGCTGCCGTGCCAAGGCAAGAAATGCTTGCACGTGCGAAACCAGCAGCACAAGTGCTGAGATACTCCAGGCCTACTCAAGTAACTAGGCAGGTACCTCCAATGAATTTAAAGCAGGCAGCGGACAGGCGAAGAACTGGGCACAAAGGTGACCAGATTAATGAAAGAGAGAGAAAGGAAGTTAGTTAAAAGTCACAGACATGGATGTCTGTCGTTGACGGGTGCTAGCCCCTTGTAGAACTACTCTGTCAGTTGTTTGACGGCTCGGTCCTCGAACAAGCTCCATGAGCCCAGCCATGTGGACTCTTACCATCGTCATCACGGGTCCACTGTCATTTACTACTGATATAGACTGGATCCATATTTGCCTGTCGCTGAGTACTCCGTATACTCTAATATTATTTGGTACGTGGTATACTATAGAGCACGATAGGTAGGTTCCTCTACGTACCTAGGTAGATATTTTTTGTAGTCGTGCCACAATCGTCTCGTCTGGGTGCATGTGGGCGGCGGGGGCTTTAAATGTTAAGTTCCTGTCACACTTTAGAGGGCATTAATTGTAACGATAATGTATATATACAAGTCTATGTCTAGCTATAAAAGAGAGAATTATATGCGCTCTTTTTATAAGTGCGCTTATTATTAGGGTTATTTACTTATAGTTAAGGGTTTACTCTTATTTAATTAAGCGTACGTAATTTATATTTATAATAAGTAACTTATTTTAATATATCTCTTAATTAAGCCTATTATTAAGGCTATTATAAGCTTTTTTTTTCTTATTTAAATACTAATTAAGCGTTAAGGCTATAATTATAAGCTTAATTACGTATACCTTATCTTTTCTTAGCGTTTTAATTAGTGTAATCTTTTATTAATTAAGAGTTAACTTATTAACCTTTTATTTATTAAGGTAAGTTAAATATAAGTTATTAGTATTATTAGCTTCTTTTTTCTTTATTATATATTACTTCTTTAATTATAATTATATTTTAATTAATATTATATTAGTTTAAAGGCACGCGTTACCTTAAAGTTATTAAAGTATATAAGACGTGTTAAATACCCTTTAATAACGTTTATTAAACTCTTATTACTTACTTTTAAAGGCTTTTAATATAAAGCCTTCTTCTCTTAATAAAATAATTAAAGCTACCTTTAAATTACTTAATTACTTTTATAATTAATAATAAAAGGTTAATAAAGCTTAGTATATTAAACGTTAATTAATTATTAAAAGAGCTAAGAAACTATTAGTATTATATTTTATAAGCTATTAATATATTAATTAAATTTATTAACGTGCTTTTAAGCTATTACTCTTAAGCTTAATATACTTTATAATATCTCTTATAAGAGTTATATTTAAGCGGCTA